TATTTTGCCACCATTTTAAAGTTTTCAGTGTAAATATCCTTTATCTCCTTTGTTAAATTTGCTCCTAGGTATTTCATCCTTTTAAATGGGATCATAGGACCTTCCCGGTGGCGCAGTGGTTGAGCCCTGGGTTGCGAAGCTGCCCGCAGCCTCTGCAGCGCTGGTTCAATCCCTGGCAGCCGGGCAAGGGTCCCACATGGTGCGCAGACCTCTCCTGCCGCCTGCTGCTCTCCTCAGCAGTGTACTTTCAGTCTGCCTGTTCTGCTCCCCACTCTGGCTCTGGTGAATTCTCTCACCCTCCTGTGCCTCTGACTGTACCCAGTGCGCTTGTATAAATAAATAAATAAATCTTTAAAAAAAAAAAAGTCAAAATAAATAAATAAATAAATGGGATCATAAATGGAATTTTCTTCATTTTTCTTTATTCTAATTCACTGTTAACATATAGAAATGAAACATATTTTTGTGTATTGATTTTGTGCCCTCCAACTTTTTTCATTTATTTTTTTTCTATAATTTTTTTTGGTAGAGTGATTAGTATTGGTTTTCTATGTCTGTGATCTACAAATAATGTTATCTATAAATGTTATCTACAAATAATGATAGTTTTGATTCTGTTCCAATTTGAATTCCTTTTGTCTTCTTCTTGCCTAATTTCTCTAGCTAGAACTTCCAATGCTACATTGAACAGTAGTGCTGATAATGGAAATCCTTGTTTTGTTCCTGATCTTGAGGCTGACATTTTTACTTACACCATTGGGTGATGTTAGCATTGGATTTGTCATTTGTGGTCTTTATTATAAGATATGTTCTTTTGGGCCATTTTTATCATAAATGGGTGTTTAATCCTCTGATACTGACTTTTCAGTATCTATTGATGCAATTATATAATTGCTTTCTTTTTTGTTGATGGGATGAATAATGTTGGTTGACTTCCATGTGTTGAAACTTCCTTGCATCCCTGAAATGAATCCCACTTGGTCATAGTGAATGGTTCTTTGAATATATTGCTGGATTCAATTTTTAAGATTTTGTTGAGAATTTTTGCATCTATATTTTTCAGAGATATTGGGTTGTGGCTTTCTTTTGTTGTACTTATTTTGCCTGATTTCAGGATTAGGGTAATGTAGCCCCTGTAAAATGTGTTTGAGAGCTTTCCGCACTCTTCAGTGCTTTTGAAGTGTTTGGGAAGTTTAGGTATTAGATCTTTGAAAGTTGGGAGAGTTCACCGGTGAAGCCAAGTGGTCCTGGACTTTTGTTCTTAGTGAGACTTGATTATTGTTTCACTTTCTGTGCTTGCAGTGAGTCTGTTCGGACTGTTTTATCAAATTTCACTCTTGGAAGGTTGTATTTCTGAAAGTTTGCCAATTTCTTCCTGGTTGTCCAATTGTTTGAACACAGATGTTCATAGCAGTATTTATGTCCTTTCCGCTTCTGTGGTATCTGTTATTACTTCGCCCTTTCCATCTTGCTTTTTTTTTTTTTTAATCAGGGTTTCTCTTATTTTCTTAGTGAGCCTAGTTAAGAGTTTGTCAACTTTGTCCTTTTAAAAAACAAACTTTTGGGGCCTCCCTGGTGGCGCAGCGGTTGAGCGCTGGGTTGCGAAGCTGCCCGCAGCCCCTGTGGCACCGGTTCGATCCCCGGCTGCTGCTCCCCGGCCAACGGAGGAGGGTCCCACATGGCGCGCAGACCTCTCCTGCCGTCCGCTGCTCCCCTCAGCAGTGTACTTTGGTCCTTCTGCCTGCTCTGCTCCCCACTCTGGCTCTGGTGAATTCTCTCACCTTCCCGCGCTTCTGACTGTACCCAGTGCTTGTATAAATAAATAAATCTTTAAAAAAAAAAAACAAAAAACAAACTTTTGGTTTCATTGATCTTGTAAACGCTCTTTTCAGTTTGTGTTCCACTGTTGTGCTCTAATTTTCATTATTTACTTCCTTCTTCCTCACCAGAGACAGAGCAGGGAGCAGAACAGGCAGACGGAACCAAAGACACTGCTGAGGGGAGCAGCGGGTGAGGCAGGAGAGAGAACGGGAAAGAGAGAGAAAAAGAGAGAGAACACTGGAGAGATCCCAGTAAAGAGGGAAGATTCGCCTGGGGCTGGGAGGCCTGCTGGCGTCTTGGGCCCTGGCTCCCCCTGCCTACTGTGTACCTGTTTACTGCATTACATGTAAAAGCTCAATAAAAGCCCGAGAAAGCCACCAAGGGTTCCAGGACTCTGCTTTACCAGTTTGCTCCCATCATAGAAAACCTGCGCTGTGCCCTTCCTGGCACCACACCTTCCTGGCTTTTTCTATTTTAAGGGCAAGGTGATATTAGGAGTAAGGTACAAATCTTTTCAGCTCTCAGTTGGCAGGGGAGGTGGACACCAGTCAGTCTTGCTGTGTTTTCTAGATTATTGCTTTAGGATAAGAAGAAATATAATACCCAGAACTTAGTTTCTACAAATCAGATGGGCCAAACACATGAACAGAAAATTCACCAAAGAAAATAAGAGATCAATATGTTGAAGTATTGTTGGAATTGTGGCATGAGAATGAATGAATTGGAAGGACAGGATTGGAAAATGGAATTTTAAAACTGATGATGTGGAAAATTTAAATTTATTGACAAGGTTGAAAACAAATAGTACAATGAAAGTATGAGTAATTTAAGATTTCCTAGTAGCTATATTTAAAATGCAGATTAAAGTTTAGTGTATTTATGTGCACCCGTGAAGGCAGTGTAAAAAAATATTTTATTTAGCTTAGTATATCCCAAAGAATCACATTTCAATATGTAACCAATAGATCAATAAGATATTTTATTCTTTTTTTATAGCCACATGTAGCTAGTGGCTACATTGGACAGCATCGGTCTAGAATACATAGAAAACAAGATGTTGGAAAGATCATCTATGTGAATATTAGAGTCACTAAGAATCTTATTCAATCACTAAAAACAATGTGTTAGACCTACGTGTATAATGAGTCCGAGTTTCCAAGGCATGACGATAAGTCAATTTCCAGTATATATAGAATGCCAATTTTTTACTCAATTGTTTTCTTTTTTCATATATTTTTTACATCATTGTCATTTTTAAACAATGTTGGCTTCTCTCCCACCCCAGGTGCAGTCCCCATAGTTTCCTTCCCCAAGGCACCCGTGCACCATCACCTCAGTCCCCTGTGCTCCTCCTTCCCTCCCTCAGATCCCTCTCCGGCCTCCTCCCCCAGGATGTCTCTGGTTTATAATTGTCTGTTTGTTTTTATTTTGTTGTGTTTTGTACTGTTATTATTTTTCCCCCTGATGTCTTATTTAGCGCCCCTATATTCCTCCTGTAAGTGAAACCAACCTATATTTTTCTTTTTCCTTCTGACTTATGAGAATGCCATTTTTTTTTTTTTTAAGATTTATTTATTTATTTATACAAGCACTGGGTACAGTCAGAAGCACGGGAGGGTGAGAGAATTCACCAGAGCCAGAGCGGGGAACAGAACAGGCAGACTGACGAAATACACTGCTGAAGGGAGCGGCTGGGGTGGCAGGAGAGGTCTGTGTGCCATGTGGGACCCTAGCCGGTGGCCGGGGATCGAACCGGTGCTGCAGAGGCTGCGGGCAGCTTCGTAGCCCAGCGCTCAAACACTGCACCACCAGGGAAGGCCCTGAATGCGATCTTTTAAAGAAAACTGTTAAGTTACAAAAGAATATGGTAAGGAAAGAGGTATGCTAACTTGATGGTTACCTCTAGAGAACAGAGTAGAAATAGGATAGCGTGGAAGTGAAGGGAGATTTTCAAGTGTTGCTTTCTGTATTTCGGATTACTTGAATATATCACAATGAGAAGGAATTAATGTATTTGTTATATCATAATTTCTTAACAGTATGGTCTGGTTACATATTTGATTTGATCCTCCCTGTCTACCTCCCCAACCCCATCATCTGCCACCTATCTTTCCTCAGTTTCAAGTATCATGAATTATTCTGAAAGTAAACAGCTGGATGGCTAACTAGACTTGTTTTTCTTTAGAAAAACTGTGTATATATTTTATTTTATTTATTTTTTATTTTTTTTGAGATTTTTTTGCCTGTTTTTTTTTTTTTTTTAAAGATTTTTATTTATTTATTTATACAAGCACTGGGTACAGTCAGAAGCGCGGGAGGGTGAGAGAAATCACCAGAGCCAGAGTGGGGAGCAGAGCAGGCAGAAGGACGAAGTACACTGCTGAGGGGAGCAGCGGGTGGCAGGAGAGGTCTGCGCGCCATGTGGGACCCTCCTCCAGTGGCCGGGGAGCAGCCAGGGATGGAACCGGCGCTGCAGAGGCCGCGGGCAGCTTCGCAACCCAGTGCTCAACCGCTGCGCCACCGGGAAGGCCCTGTGCATATATTTTAGCTTGTTATTCATGATGCTATAAAACACCTTTCTGCTTTCTATTTCTTGGGTGTCTTGGAATCTCAAATGACCAAATCTTTAGTTCAAGAAAATATGGTTGAAATAGGAGAATGAACTGAGCAGTTCCATTTAGTATCTTTTTCATCAGACAATGTTCATTTCCTGAATTAAGAATATTTGTGTAGCTCAAAAATGCTCTAGAGCACTCTGGAAAAAAGCATGCTGTCATCTCTCTCTTTAGATTTTACACTTGAGGGTAGGGAGTCTGATTGTTGTATTGGTGCTGCCTATATGAATGCACAGCAAATAGGTATTCAATAAATTGTTTTTTAAACAGGGCCTCCCTGGTGGTGCAGGTGGTTGCACGCTGCACTGTGAAGCTGTCTGCAGACTCTGCAATATGGGTTCGATCCCGGCTGGCCAGTTGGCCAGCCGGTGAGAATCCCACATGGCACAGCAGACCTCTCCTGTCTCGCCCGCTGCTCCCCTCAGCAGTGTATTTCATCAGTCTGCCTGTTCTGCTCCCGCTCTGTCTCTGGTGAAACCTCTCACCCTCCCACACCTCTGGCCTGTACCCCAGTTCTTGTATAAATAAATAAATCTTTAAAAAAAAATGATTTTAAACAGCACAGTGAAGACAATGTCAATGGTAAGAATTTAGTAAGTATAATGAATCAAAGTTTAGAGTAGAGGAATGGGCTGTAAGTTATTTTCATATTTTGTTTTCTTATGAATGTTCAATTTCTCCTTCAAAATTTAGTCAGAATGTCACTTTTTTTCCTCATGGGTTTCCCTGCTGCCCAAGCATTTATCACCGACATCCTTAATGCGCCCACTTAGTTTTATGTGATACCTCTCAAGCCATATCTTGTTATGTGTTCACATTTTCTATTCCTCTTCAATTGTGACTTCCTTCTGGGTAAAGAGCACTTTTTATTATACATAAAACAGTGCCTCAGATGGAACAGATATTCAACAAATTTTTGATGAATATAAGTGTACAGAAAGCCCCAATGAGGAAAGAAAAACTTATTTACATTTATTGATTAAATTACTAAATATTTATTGAGTACCTTTTATATACCAGAGAAAAGGAACAAGAACAAATTGCCCAGAGTTACTTTTTAACTCTTTCAGCAGTACCTGAGTCCTCATCATAAAAAAAAAATCCATTCCATGGACTTAGCATTCTTTGATTAATCTTCATGTACAGTTTTCTCAAGTGTACTTTCAAATATTGCGTAATGACGCAGCCCAGTAAATATTGCAAAGACTGTTTGAAAGACTAGCGGGATTGCCATTGCCTTTATGTCTGTTTGACAAAGCAATAGCCAGTGAAGTAAAACCCTTCCTTTTGGCGGCAGCGGAACAGTATGATACCTAAAAAGGAAAAAGAAAGTTAGTAATTTCCATTCTAGGCTTTCATGTAAATAGCAGAAAAGGTTAAGAGTTAGCTGCTTGAAACACCAGACTACTATAGTTTGATTAAAATGTGCCAGCAGTAACTTAAGAATAAGAAGTTTACTAACCTAAAAGAAAAAAAAAAGGAAGAAAAGGAACAAACGGATGGACTCACTTGACTGCCAGATGTCCATTTCTAGAAAAAGCCAAAGCACTGGGATATAAAACACCACATACTATGCCAACCAGGGAACTTCTCAGAACACAGTTTTCCTGGCTTATATTACCTGGGAACAAAAAATTTGGTTTTCATCTACAACTCAGGATAAGGACTATTAAGACAGTTTTGTGTCCTCATACAATAACTATATGTATATATGTACTGTCTAGTACCACAGTGAAACAGTAGAAAGAATATTTTAAAAATGTTTTTATTATACTTTATATAGTGAGAATTATGTCTTACATATGTGGTTGCTGCAAAGCAATTTAATAATGAAGAATATTAAACTACAAGCCCAGACATGTGGATTCTTTGTTAATACATTTTTATTATCTCTGTGCTAGGCATGTGCCAGGCCCAAGGGATATAGTGTTGAATAGCAGAGACCCACTCACTCATCTTTTGGCCAGTCTTTGAAAAGAAATACATTAGACAAATATTTAAATAATTAATTTTAAGTGTACACAATGCTTTGAAGGTAAAATAGGGAATGTTTCTAGAAACCTAACTTATCCTGAGGGGATCACAGCTTCTTGGGAAAGATTAATTTATGTAGGTATCTGATAAATGGGGGGTAGAAGTTCCATCAATTACTAGTTGTGAAACTTAAGGTAAGGGGAAGAAGAGGCAGGAAATAACATTAGAAGTCCTGAATATGCCAGATACTGTAAGTACTTGACACATAGTTTCTTTTAATTCTCAAAATAATCATGTGACATAAGTACTATGGTCCTAATTGACAGATAAGACAACTAAATCTCAGAGGGTAATTGATTTGTGCAGTGTCACAAAACATACATGGTGGGAGGCAGAATCTGAAATCATGTGAGTACTGTGCCAAAATCTGCTTTCCCCCAATAATAAATTATGTCACTTCTTAGTCTATTTATACATATCTCAGCTTTGGTTTCTCATATGTAAAAAAGAGACAGATGAGACTTGCCCTGCCTAATTAGAAAGAATCTTAAGGGGATGAAATAGTACCATCTATATAAAGGCACTTTGTAAATGGTAAAGCAATACACACATGTAAAGGATTTTATCAGCAGTAGGGACAGTATATATTAATGAGTAATTTTACTTAGACATACTTTTATATAGAGATAGGTGAATGAAAATTTACCTGAATTCAAAGCATCAGTTACAAAGAGCTTGTAAGCTACTACAGTAGACAAAAATGGAAGTGTGGCTAATGATGTGTATGTCTTCAGAGCATCATGTTGAACCTTAAAGCAATTTCTGAAAATGAAGTTTGCCAACATTCCAGAGAAACTAGCTGTTGTTCCAAAGAACACTGTTCCCTTTATATTTAAAGTCCTAATAGGGATGAGAGAAAAATTAAGTTCAATAAAAATTCTAATAGATATACCTTTCCTATGTAACCATTGGTTACTACATATTTACTCAACATTAAATATAGAAATGTCTAAGGTTAAAAATGAAAATCCTTCCATTTTATTCTTAAGCTCTTTTAATCTAAATGTCAAAATGGATTAAAGACTATATGTACATGGGGGAATTTGTATTCTTTTTTGCCGAACTATCACTGTGGCCGAGGAAATCAATTCTAAACTAAATCTAATTATAACTGACCATCAATTAAATATAAGTAGCTCCTGAAAGAGTGGTCTTCTAATTATGCTTAATTAAAAAATGTATTTATTGCAGAGATAACATTTGAACAACAGTTTTGGATATTTTTTTAAAAGGACATGATTCACATGGGCCTCCCTGGTGGCACAAGGGGTTAAGCACAGCACTGTGAAGCTGTCCACAGCCTCTGCAACATGAGTTCAATCCCCTGCAGGCCAGGGAGCAACCTACATGGCGCAGCAGACCTCTCCTGTCCTGCCTGCTGCTCCCCTCAGCCATGTATTTCAGTCAGTCTGCCTGTTCTGTTCCCCACTCTGTCTCTGGTGAATCCTCTCACCCCCGTACCTCTGGCCTGTACCAGTTCTTGTATACATAAATAAACAATTCTAAAAAAAAAAAGGAAATGACTCACATTCCCAATATTCCAACAAACCACTATTTTCATCTATTCATGTTTCCTTCCAGTTTTTTTCCTAAGCATTTTTCATAACCAACTCAATAAGGTTAAGAGGATCTTAGGTACTCAGAAATACTGACAGATCTAGAAATAAAGTTAATGATTCTATTAAGGTATGTCTCTTACGTTTCTTTTGTAAGATATTCAATTTTTTTTTCTATGATTTCGCTGATCACTGATCTTCTTAGTTTTGCATCTACTAGAAATGGATTGGGTTGACCATATGTGTATGTTGCCACCTTGAGGTCCTGCAAAACAGAAATTCCAGCCCATAGTAGCTAATGATGTTAACATTACATTGTACAAATTCCACAGATTCTGTTTAAAAAACATTGTTTAGTAATACCGCCACATACTTTACATCAATGATCAATCAACATTTAATAAGCTCTTATGTGTTTTCAATTCATATAACAACTTTGAGAAGTTGATAGGATGATCTCTACTTTTACAGATGAGAAAAATGAGGCTCAGAAAGGTAGATATATCTCAAGACCTAGTGTAGAGAGACAGCTTAATCAAAATTTTGTTTTCCCTCAAGGTCCTTTGTAGTTTACCCTTCAGAGAAAAGGAGATAGATGGCAGGTGGAAACAGTACCTACTTGTTGACAACTGACTCTATCCTGACTTCCATGAAAATCTGAGCTCTTTTTGGAGATAATGTTGAGTTTTCCGAAGAGATAAGAGAGAACAGGCCTTCCTTGGAGAACAGTCAGATAGAACAAGAGAGACACTGTTTCAGGCAGGAAGAGACGGTAGAGCTTGGCTCTCTTGGAAAATGTAAGTTACCTATTCAGCAAGCAGCACCTGCAATGGAAGCATGGCCTGTGCTGGAAAGTGCTATGTGGCATACTGAGGAGCCTGGTCCCATGGCACTGAGCTCCAGTGCAAGTTCGATCCCCGGCCAGGGAGATACCCACATGGCGCGGCAGACCTCTCCTGACACGCTCGGTGCTCCCCTCAGCAAGGTACTTTGGTCAATCCACCTGTTCTGTTCCCCACTCTGTCTCTGGTGAATCCTCTCACACCCCCCCACACCTCTGGCCTGTACCCCAGTTCGTGTATGCATAATCTTTAATAAAAAAATCTGAAGAGAACAAAGAAAAACAAAAGCAAATACTTCACAGATTACATTTTCTAAGGGGTAAGATGTAATCTTTTGCTTCTCTCTCACATCCAAATGGAAAATGGAAGAGAAAATTAATACAAAAGAAGATTCTATATCCAAACCATCTCATGCAGTATGAAGGCAGATGTCAGGCACTTGACAATTAACCTGAAACCTTGAATAGATTTTCATTTTGCTGTCATCCTATTCCTTAAAGCACCCAACTCCCCGGAAAGAAAACATCCAGGTAATGGGTGTTCCAAACTCCGCCCCCCACACCCCAAGTACACAGGAAACTGACACCCATATTCGCGTTCCTAAAACACAGAAACAGCAGCAAATGCGGCCTCCTTAGAAGGAACTGCTATTAAATCAGATAAACCGGACAGCCTTTTAACAAGTATTGAAATGTAAAAATTCTACTCTCACCAAGATGTTACCTAGAAATCGGGCTGCCCAACCAGTCACCCCGATTGCCCAGGCGGGCGCGCACAGCACCCGCGTGTAGTCTCTCACTCCCGGAGCTCCTCCGCGCCCCTCCTGCCCCGCCCGGGGCTGCCCGGCCTCACGCGCCAGGCGCTGCCAGCCCCGGGCGAGGAGAGCCGGGGCCTCTCGGGGCCCGCGTCAGGCCAGGCCGGGGAGGAAGGAGGGGTTCACGCTTTGGTGGGGGGCGCCGGCGGGTAACGACGCGGTCATTAGGGGAGCCACGCGGACCCTGCCAGGGGCGCGGGCAGGCTCTCCGGAGGGGGAGACTTCGCGGGGAGCGGGCGAGGGGCGGCTGCCCGGGGCCGGGGGTGTCCAGCTCACGCCTCCTCCCGCCGCGCCTGGGGCTCGGGGGTCCCCTCAGCGCTCCACGCCCCGCCACGGGCGCCGAGCCGCGCCCCCCGCCCGGGCCCGCAATCTGGGGCGCAAGGCGCGACCCCCACCTACCTGGGGCGCAGCCCCGGCTCCCTCGAGCGCCACGCCCGCCGTCCCCGGGCAGCCCCGGCCTCGCGCCCGGGCGCCGCCATCTTTGCGGCTCACGTGACCGGGTGGGCGGGGCCGGCGCGGCGGGCGGGGGGCGCTGGCTCGCGCCTCGGGGCGCCCGGCCCCGCGCCCGGCCGGAGCCGCGCCCCCAGTCTCTGTGGCCGTCCGCTGGCCCCCAAAGTGCAGCCGCGGCGGCCCGCGCTCCCTGCCCCTGGCTGGCCTCCTCCCTCGGCCCGCAGCGACCGCAGGGGCTGGGGCGCAGGCGGCGGCCCCTGCGCCGCGGGCGCCCCGGTAGCGGGGCCCAAGCCCCCCCCCACAAGCCCTGAGGGGCGCGCCCTGCGCCCAGCTGTGTGTTGGGGAGCGGACCCCTGTGGTGCCCCCGCGCCCCCCAGCCCTCCGAGCCCCCAATCCAGCCCCCGTCGTCCAGCCCGGGTCCCGCGCGGGGCGGCCGGGGAGAGGCGCCCCCTCTCCACGGGGCTCCCCCACTCCACGGGGCTCCCCGTCCGCCGGGGCCGGGGCGGGGCGCTGCTCGGGCCGGCGCCCCTCTGTGCGCGCCGAGGGCCGCGGCGTCTCCGGAGCCTCGGAGGAGCGGGCGGCGGGTTATGTAACCCCGCGCCGCGCCGAGCGGGAGACGCGCCGCCGCGGGGGGCGCAGGACGCCGGGGCGCCCTAGGGTCCCGGGCCGGTGCGGGCGGGGGTCCCGGGCTCCCCCGGAGGCAGGCGGCGGCGGGGAGAGGGTCCGCGAGGGGCCAGCGGGGCCGCCGGGCGCGCCCGATCGCAGCCCGGGCCGCCGCAGCCGCGCCCCGAGCGCGCCCCGCGAGCGCTGACCCCTCGGCGTCCGGCGCCCCCCCGGCCAGGGCGGCCCCAACGACGCGTGAGCTACCGGGGAGACCCCGGCCGCCCGAGCATCCGCACCCGGGCCCGCGGGGCGCGCCGCCTCCAGGGTCCCCGTGCCGGAGCGCAGCCCCCCGGCCCCCTCTGGCGCCGCGGGGACCCGGAGGCGCGAGCGCAGGGCCTGCGAGCGCGAGGAGACGCTAAGGGGACGGCACCGGACGCCGCCTCCCGGGCTGAGGTCGGAGCTCGGGGTCCCCCAGACAGACGCGGTCCTTCAGGTCGGCTTCTGCCGCGGAGACCTGGGCGCACCTCCACCTGCGCGGAGACCACGGGCTGAGGAGCGCGCGCGAGTGCTGTTTTTGGAGGGGACTTCGCTGGAAAGCCTGGAGGAGCTTTGTCATCAGTCACCCCATCTTCGAATCCCATGCTGTGTAGAGTAACGAGCCAGCTGTATAAATCTGGGTGGTGCCTTAATTAAGTTAGTCACTGAACTCCAAAATTGCTGCCTGAAGAGGAGTTTTACTAACGTTTTCTATGCTTGCCATACTTTTCTCAGCTTTCAAAAAATAAATATTTTATAAAATTTGAAAAACTTAAAAGTTATTTTTCTCTAAACTGCGGACGAGGTTAATTGTGGACAAGCCACATTACTATTTTCTTTATTCGAAATAGACAGCTGGGATTTCAAAGCTGCACGCTGAAGGGGTTTGCAACAGTTCCCTGGCTTTTGGCCTCAGTCCAGCTGGATCAAGTTGATGTCTGAAAAGAGATCTTGAATCCTGGAATCTGGAGAGACCCAAGCATGCCAGTCAGGAGGAAAGGTGGGCTCTGAGGCTTCCTATATGTTTCTTTCTTTTCTTGGATCTGGTATTTGCCATTTTATTCGTATTCCATTTGAGAGTAAACTTAGGTCTGAGAAAATAATTGTTGTAAAAATCTTTCAGTGGTACATTATTCATCAATATTTTGTGAAAGTAAAATGAAGTAGGACTAGTATTTGATAACAGGCGTTGATGATTTAATAAATCAGGTGGTCTGAATCAACTGGAATCAGAGTAGACTTAGTAGCAAAGATTTGGAATTTTGTAGCTGTTTCCTTAGCTTGTGAAAATTACTTTCAGACCATCTTAAAAAAAAAAGCATCCTGTGGAGCTCTTCATCATTTAATATTTAGCACATATCAAATAGTTACATCGTTGTAAAAGTGATTTTACTTGCACTGAAGAAAATTAAATTATTTTTCTTTTGAATTAAAAATAGATCTCATATTTGGGTTTACTCTAATGTAAATCTTCACTTTTATGGTAACGCACACCTTTGGTAACTGTGGAGCTATTCCAAATGCATGCATTAGCCAGTAATGTGATTGGCAGGTCCCCAAATATGGTGAACACCTGACCCTGACTCCATGACCACCCCCCCCCCCCGCCCCAGTTGCCCTAGATCCAGGGGTTCTTGAAGTGTTGTAGGTCAATCCTTGTGGCATTCACTTTAGCTGCATCTCCTCCACCCCCAACCCCCCCCCCCGTTAATTTTTTTTTTTTAATTTAAAGAACAGGTTTATTAGGGAAAGGGACCAAAGAGATACTTGCATAGAAACAAGCGGGCAGAAAGAGCTGCCCTGAAAAGGACAGGTTTGCTGAGAGGCCTGCATGGCTGCAGGTGGGCGGCCTTCAGGAGAGTGGCCTCCACTGAGGGAGGTGAGTGAAGAGAAGTCCTGGCAGGTTCAGGTCACGGGCAGGCAGGAGGCTGCTGCCCTGCAGAAAGGGACAGAGTTGGTGAAAAGAGGCACCTGCATAGGCACAGGTGGGCAGACAGAGTGCTGCTACTGGGTTAATTTTGTTCCTAAGAATCCTAGTGACAGGGGCCTCCCAGGTGGTGCAAGGGGTTAAGAACCGCACTATGAAGCAATCCGCAGCCTCTGCAGCACAAGTTCCATCACTGGCGGGTCAGGGAGCAACCCACATGGCGCAGCAGACCTCTCCTGCCTTGCCCGCTGCTCCCCTCAGCAGTGTATTTCAGTCAGTCTGCCTGTTCTGTTCCCCACTCTATTTCTGGTGAATCTCTGGCCTGTATCCCAGCTCTTGTATGCGTAAATAAATAAATCTTTAAAAAAAAAAGAATTCTAGTGACAACCAGTTTGTTTTTTTTTCCCCACATGATTTGGAAAAGGGTATCAACTATTGAGAATTTTGAATCAAAATTTATGTGAATACCCTTTAAATCTCCTATCCCAGGTCAGCACAGATCTGAAAGTTAATTGAGTTGAGTTGCTACAATCTGAAGCTCAGAGTGAAGTTTAAAGTGCAACTTGGCTCTGTATGATGTTTAAACCTTTACAGTGGATTTGGAAGTTGCATTGAAGAAACATTAGTAAGATGCTTTATGCAATTGCTATATGTAGGATGACAATGATACATAAAATGTTTGGGATACCTAGAACTGTACCTTTGTACGCTAGGATTTAAGGCTGGGGTGGTTTCCTTCTGCTCCCCCTCATATTATCAGTGAGAGAAATAAACTCTCTATGGCATTTTGGTGCCACACCTGTTCAGACCTGAAACAACTGGCTTATCTGAAACAAGAATGGTGGTTGTTGGGCATGTAGTCAATAAATGATTACACTCTTAGACTTACTTAGCTTGTTGTGTGTTTTTATTCTTTCTACTATTTATCGTTCTCTATACAGTATCCTTTTTGGACTACTTTTATTTTAGACTAATAATTGCATTAAGCATATTTAATTCGTATGTGTGTATGTTTGTGGTGTGTGTGTGGGGGATTGTATCTGGGAGGTAGGACAAGGAAGGGCAATTAATGTTATAGTTATTATTTAACAGGAGTGAATTTAAGGTTTCTAAACCCTATAGATTGAGTTTCTTAAAAGTTCCTACCTTTAAAGAGAATTAGAAAATTGCTGATACATTATTGAAAATCATACTTTACAAGAAAGAGTGTTAATTTTCTTCCCATTCTCCCTCTCTACTCTCCTTCCTTTCTCTTCTTTCCTTTCACAGTTAATTCACTGTAGTAAGTCAACATTTTTAAAGAATGGACAAATCTAATTAACAAAACAAGTATATATTTGCATCATAGTAGGGAATATGCATTATGCAATTTACAAATTAATAAAATGGGAGAAATTGTTGACCTCTTAAAACTATTAGTATGAAGATACATACTTTTGAATATTATAAACAACTAGCCAAGCAAGTTTTGACATGTGCATTACATTTTGAATTGTCTCAGCTTATTTGTACTGTGTCTATACTATAGGTGAAATAAATATTTTGAATTAAAACCTAGACTATTTTGCAGAAATTGTATCCATTATCACCGTGAATCCTTTTTCTTTATTGTTAAGTGTGGTAGATATGGTAGAAGAGTTTAGACTTAATGTTATCTTAAAAAATAACTATCCTCACTTAGCCAAGTGTTTTTTCACTGTTGAATATATATATATATATATAAATAAATTTTCATAAGGCAGATTTTCGTTTGGTATTTATTTTGTATGTTATTGTAAAAATGGAGTTTCTCTAACTGATAACAGTCATGATGGGAATGGGTGTGATACCACTCACTAAATCCATTTTTCGGTGCTATTCTTGACTGTTCTTAGATGAGCTGCACTGTTATACTTCAAACCCATGTATTCACTGCTGATTGCATAATGGCATTACTTCCTACCTCTTTCACCACACTCTCTACACATTTTTATAGATCTTAGTTTTATCAACAGAAGACTTTTCATCCCCCACCCCCAACACTTGCTTTTCATTCAGGATTCTCTTTTCTACAGTAGTACCTTGATTTGTTCTCAAATGTGCCTGAGGAAACTCAGGTTGAATCCAGGATAAGTTGTATTAGCATTCTCTGATATGATGCAAAGATCATAGCGTATTGGAAGGTATATTTCAATAAGACTTTTTTTTTCTTAAGATTTACTTATTTATACAAGAGCTGGGGGACAGGCCAGAGGTGTGGGGGGTGAGAGGACTCACCAGAGACAGAGCGGGGAGCAGAACAGGCAGACTGACGAAATACACTGCTGAGGGGAGCAGGGGGCGAGACAGGAGAGGTCTGCTGCGCCATGTGGGTTGCTCCGCAGCTGGTTGGGATGGAACCCTCACTGCAGAGACTTTGGACAGCTTCACAAGTGCTGCGCTCAACCCACTGCGCCACCAGGGGAGGCCCTATTTCAGTAAGACTTGATGAATTGATCCCATCTGATTTCATTTGGGATGTATGTAAGAAATAAGTTAAATGATAGTTAAGTTCTTCCCGGGATTTTCAGTGGGAAGTTGCTGTTTTAAAGATAAAATGTGCTGCTCAAGCATTTTGTAGTATGTTGTAGTTTCTTTGTTAGCAGTTTTTTGTTCATTGTCATTAAATATGTGAAATCAATGCTTTTAGTTAATACTCATTTCATTTCTGTATTTTAAAAAAATTGTACTGTTCTGACTTTCTTTTAAATTGATATAGACACCTGTCTAACATTATTAATTTACTTTATGACACTTTCAAGTTTGTCAAACCAGTGTAATATTCACGTTTTTTTCCTGTTTTAAAAAACTTCATGGTTTTGTAATTTTCCCAGCCAATAAAACCCAAAATTGAGTTAAGCACTGAATTTTCCAGAGAGGAATGGGAAAACACAGTTTTCAAACTTTTGCAATTTCTATGTATCAAAGTAAAATAATTTGCTAAAGTTTTTTTTTTTTATTATTTTAAATTTCCTCAAAGGGACGTCTTGACCTTATTTGACTAGTTGGAAATCATGAGGCCAGCTGATGTTGGAAAATACTCATCAACCCAGGAGGGATAAAGTGAGACAGCCTTTTGGAAAACCAGGATGCTTTTTGTATTGAGCTACTCATCTGGAGTGTTATGAAGCAAAAACAATTCCTGATTAGGGGAATGCAAACAAAGACATAGTGCTAAAATGATGTTAATTGAATTTATTTTATAGGACTTATTGGGAAATGATTTGATACCATAATATATTTGAACTGTTAGGTTTTTGGGAGACAACCCAACTGCTTCTTTCATGACAGACTATTTAATTTTTCCTTTATATCTATGATTGTTTATGTCTTTGAGTAGTGAGAAGATATACACTAATTATTAGATTTTTAAAACATTGAATTAAAGCATCCGATTTATTCATGCCTTAATCATCAATCTATCCCTTGCTCTTCTAAATCTCACTCTTCTATAATATATTCGCTAAACTACAATGCTTTTTCTTAATTGTTTAATTATATATTTTCTTTTTTGTTCTTTTATTTTCAATATTTATTATGTCATCATTCAGTGGTTATTAATTTTTTCCTTTTTTTTTAGTATAGGCTGAGATGTATATGTGTGCAGATTTTTTTCCTTTTTTTTTTTTTAAACTGGTGCAGAAGGGCCTGTTTCTTAGCTACACTCCTGCTCAGGAATTTGTAGTTGTCAAGGCACGAGGACTCTCCAACCTCAATATATAGGTTGCTTTGTCAGCAAAGGATCATGAGTTTTACCCAGTCTCTTTTGTCCAGTCATTCAGAATTCCAAGTAGTAAGCTTTCTGCATAGGTTCGATTTTTAGTAAGTTTCTCAAAGCTATTTCAAGAAATACAGCCAAATCACCTCCATTATGAAACAGTTCTCACTCTGTTTGTTTTAGGATTTAAGATCAAGGAGAATGATGTAAAGTAGGAATTCCTATTTAAGTGATTATTAAGTTTTAACTTTCAGCAATTATGGATAAGATTAGATGCATCATTTTTTCTGATGATGCCATTTTGCTAGGCACTGGGTCCTAACTTTGTTAGGGTAAG